ATAAATCATGTCTTAATAAATAACCTGGAATACATCTGATATCCAAAATGAATAAATATATCTCGACAAGAAACAACTGAAAATCGTACAAATGCACACTGCCTTTACACTGTAAAATAAACTTTAAGGTCTGAACAAAAATATAAAACTACAGTGGAACCTCTAATAAATCTCATGTGACGACGACTATGCAAGAACTCTGTCATCCTGTGACTCTTCTGTACTCCGAATTACCTGAAAGAATATTAGAAGAAAAAGAGCAATAATAAGAGCGTCAGAGCGCTATAGCAAGATCACCTCCATCTGTCCCAGTGGTAGGACTGCTAGATGTAATGGAGGCTCTATTTATTAAGCATAGTCTACCTAGATTATTTTTCCTCGTATCTAATGGAATTAATATTTAGACACCTACAATATGAGACATAGTACGTCGACCAAAATAATCCAAATAAGGAAACCCTCATGTATATATCATATGTCCTGAATTATAAACATCTAACCATTAATACTGAACTAAAGATAAATAATCTAAATAAAATCAATAATTAGAAATCCACAACACGAGACTGATACGTCGAGCGAAATAATCCAAACAAGGAAATATTTATGTATATATCATATGTCTCAAATTGTGAATCGCTAATTATTAATCCTAACTAGGAAAATAAAGAAAAGCAATAAAAGAAAGTAAAGACATCAACATATCGTATTCATAATATCTTCCACTGTCACTGAGAAGATAGAATGAATACCGGCACAAATCCCGTTTACTTTCAAATGCGAAGTACTCTGGGTCATATATTTCAGTAGTGAGTCAAAAACATATTGGCATCTGCCAACGACTCGGGCTATCATTTAACTATCTCAATACAACTCCGTGCAAGATTCTGATTCATGCGGGATGGACTACCCGATCGGTATTCTAATAGTGTACACAGCTCAGTAGTCTCATCACATCTCTGTACGTAACACGAGTACGGGACAGACTACCAAGTAGGCATCCTAGAAATACGGCTCACAAACCTCATCACACCCTAGTATGGGATGGACTACTAGATAAAGAATCCTAAACCTGACTCAATGGCCTGTACAAATGGAATATTGACGCACTACCCCCGTAGAACTGAACTGAGCTCATCAACGATATCCAGAAGGTGTGTGTATAATATGTACTAAACTTTTCTCAAAGTAATCAGGTCAAAACCCATCATAATTTCTTTTAGTATATCCATTTGTATGCTACTACACTATTCATGAATTTACATATAAAGAAGTGCGGCTCGAAACCCGCAAACATATCTCAAACAGATGCAAAACAAAAATTCAGGCAACAGACTTAGTAGTCGACTACTAGGCTTAGTAGTCGACTACACTAAGTCCATCCAGACTCTGTAATAACATATATCAGTATCAGTAGTCGATTATTAAGAACACTAGTCGACTACTCTACAAACACATAGTTTCTGTTATACTCAACTGGACACGAGTAGCCAACTACTAAGCTTAGTAGTTGACAACTCTGTCATGAAACGCATTCGTTCATGCATAATTAACGCTTATGTCAATTGTACATATCATGACGTTAAAACGAGATTTTATATTTGCCATATGCAATAGGAATTATCTGAGTCATTGAATTGAATTATTATATCTTCCAAATTAGGGTTTAACATCCTAATTAAACAATTTCTTTAATTATCTCATATGTAAACAAAGTGATTATCAACACATGATAAAAACTACTCATGAACAGAGGTAAAATTCATTTAAACATGTTTATCTTACTTATGCATCACTAACCTAGGGTTTAAACATGATTAATTAACATGAAAACTCAAAGAAACATTCATGTAATATATTAATTATTTCAAATCAGCATATCAACAGTTTTCTACAGAATATATCATTAGTAAATTGAGCATATCTTTCTTTAGACAAACTCTTTTTAAGAATAGTTTTTTGTTTTGGAAAATAGATCCATATAGTTATCATTTAGCACTAGTTTGGTTCAATTTGGAGTTTATATAATATCTCAAATTTTTAGTTAAATGTTAAACATGCGCCACAATTTTTTGCAGAATATATTATTAGTAAATTGAGTATATTTTTCTCTATAAAAACTCTTTCTTAGAATGGTTTTCTATTTTAGAAAATAGGTTCACATAGCTTTCATTTGATACTAGTTTTGTTTAGTTTGGAATTTATATGATATCTTAAATTTCCAGTTAAATGTTATACACATGCAGCAGTTTTATGTAATCTATGATGAAAACAAAAACTAAACCTCTTTATAATTTAATTAGACAACAAATTAGGATTAACACATGAGTTAAACATAATTATAAAGTTTAAAAAATAAAAATTTAATCACCCCTAATGATCATGATCATGTTACTATCATAAACAACTAGGAAAAGCTAATGATCTAGCATTAGGTTAAGATTTATCATAAAAAATCTCATCTTTTTTTATATTAGGTTAAGCCTTAAGCATAAAAACATTGATTAAACACTTTTATAACTATTAAACACTATGGGGATGGGTTTGGATGCAGATGATCTTCTCGTCGCCAAACGTTGTAGATTTTGCCTTTTCCTCGCTTCTCGCCTCACAAAACGCTCCCAAAATCTCAACTTTAGGGTTAGGGTTTGAGAGAGAGGAAGAGGGGCTACTAGGGTTTGAAACTATGATGAAAAAATGATAATTTTCATGAAAACATATGTTATATATATATATATATGCAAACCCAAAATAAACCCGTTTGACCCGAACCAGGAAACCTAGTCTGACTCGGAAAATAACCTTCGGTATTTTAGCTGTAACTTTCTCATCCGACCTCGGAATGAGGTAATTTAAGATTTGTTGGAAAGATGTTGAAGAGACCTACAACTTTAGTGTTTTGAGTTTTCTAGATTCAAAATATATCGATTTGTAAAATATATAAACTCTTAACTGGTCATTTTTCTATATTTCTCTTCGTGCATGTTTTGTGCATTTGCACTCATATATTCACAAATATACATTGAATTGATCTTAAATAAATTCCTATCATACTCAAACATCAAAATATGTTATATTTTCACCATATAACATAATTATATTATTTTTTATATAATATTCAAATTTTCAGGGTTTTACATTTCTCCCCCCTTAAAAAGAATTTCGTCCGCGAAATTCCTCAATCGTATCCTAGAGATTAATAATATCAGAAAAGTACGTTGAGGCGAGGAAACTCTCATATACACATCTCGTACCATTAATCTTCAGATATAAAACATAAAAATATTTACACTTAAATATCTAGAATGCCAATATTCCCACTCAACCCAGCGAAAAATCCAAATAAGGAACCCTCCATATATATACCATGGGTTCCGAATGATTAGGAGTTAAGTGTCAATACCTCCATTCTAGCGTTAAGTATGAATATAACCATATAAATAATCCATAAATATCAATCAAAATCAATCAACCCACCTGCTCAAACAGGTACGGGTAGTCGCGATGCATAACATATTCGCGCCCCTAAAAATCATCATTGATATTTATACTTAACGGTCTAAAATACAAATACTCCTAGTTAACCCCTAACTAAACGGAACAAGTATGTCGGGCAAAAATCCAAATAAGGAACCCCCAATATATACACCGTGTGTTCCAAATACTTAGGAACTAAGTGCTAGTATCACCATTCTAGCGTTAAGTATAAACATGACCATACAGATGACCATAAATCATAAACAAATCATACTGAATTTTTAATTTACCTGTTCAAACATGTATGGGTAGTCGCGATGCATATCCTCCCTGTGCTCCCATGAAGTCTCCTCAGTTCCTCTCCGGTTCCACTAAACTGGGTATCACCTTATTTCTAAGCTTCTTGCCCTCCTTGGTAAGAATGCATACCGGAATCTCAATCATAGTCAAATCATCATGAATCTCGACCTCCGGTTCATCCAACACTTGCTTCTCCTCCTCGTCGTGTTGTAGATGCTTCTTAAGCATAGAAACATGGTAAACATCGTGTATGCTCGACATCGAGAATGGACCAATGTACCTCGGGGCAAGCTTGCCCCGTCTACCAAAATGCTGTACACCCTTCATTGGTGATACTTTTAACAAAATATAATATCCAACCTGGAATTCTAATAGTTGTCGCCTCCGGTCTACGTAACTTTTCTGACGACTTTGCGCTGCAAGAATGCGCACTCGAATGACTGATACCTTCTCTATAGTCTGTCTAACAAGCTCTGGTCCGAGCAATAGGCTGTCTTCTGGTTATACCCAACAAATAGGTGATCTGCAAGGCCTCCCATATAATGCTTCATATGGTGTCATGCCAATAGTCCCTTGATAGCTATTATTATAGGCAAATCCAATCAATAGGATGTGATCCTCCCAACTATCTTGAAAATTAACAACGCTCGCCCTCAACATAATGTCCTCCAATATCTGGTTCACTCTCTCCGTCTGTCCATCCGTTTGCGGGTGAAATACACTAGAGTAAGATAATTGGCTACCGAAAGAGTTCTGGAAACTTCTCTAGAAATATGCTGACTTCGTCAATCGATCCGCTATTACCCAAACTGAATGGTTTAATAAAAATTTGAATTTGTAGGGGTATTTTTGTAATTTAAAAAATTTGAAGAGTGTTTTTTACAAAGTCCAAAAATTTTTAGGTGCCGGCTAACATATGATTTCAAATTTCTCTACAAACTGAAATGGGTAAATTATTTGAATTATATGAAACGTTTCTATTTTATCCATAACATGTTAAGTCTTATTATGAATAGAATAAATTATTTGGTTACCAATTCAAAGAAGATAAGATAATTAAAATATATTAGAATAATAATATAATATTTAAAAAAATCTAAAGATAATATTAGCCATAAATTTTTTTTCCAAACTAATACTTTTAGGGGCTGTTTGGTTCGCTTTAACACCCTGTGGAAATCTTTTTCTTCGCCTCCACGTCAGAATTTTCACCTCCACGTTGGTTTTTAGGTTTCCGTTGATTTTTTTCCCTGCTTTGTTTCACTAGAGCTGAAGAGGGAAATCGAAGAACAAACCGCCGCCAGCTAGGATTTTTTTCTCTCCCCCATTTCCTTCCCCAACCGAATGAAATCGACGAAAACCGTGCCTACGTCGGATTTTTTTCTTCCTCGTTGATTTCTTCGGTGAGCTACAGTTACCTCCTTCACATCGCTCCCGCCAGAAACTCCCGCGATCTTTGTCCCTGTATTCGAAGAAATTTGCCCCTTTTCTCTCTCTCTCTCGGCAAGCTAGCGAGCGATTAATTATGGGTCCCTGAATTCTACTGAAGGCGAAGATGAAGGCGAAAACGAGAGGCATCGAAGAGCGCGGTGAAGGCAACGAATTCAACAAGGAAGCAGAGCCCCTAGGAAGCGGCAGCTACAGCGATAAGGATCTCAAGCAAGCATAATCGTCATCAATTTATGTTTTTTTAATGTTATCTGAGTAATTTTGAGGAAAGACTTGTTATTAGGGTTTTGGGGCTTGATGTCGGCAGGGGTTTTGTTGGTGGATCCCACAGCAGGAAGAAAAAAGATGATGCCAAAGCCAGTTGAGGAACGAAAAATGGTGAGTTATTTTATTTATTCAGCGTGAAGTACAAAAATTATTATTAGCTTTTGGGTTTCTTCTCCTTTTTGGAGTTATTACTTCGATCCACTACTTTATTTTGTTTTTTTAATGTTAATTGTGCTTGTGAAATTGTCGTATGTATACTGGTGGATTCTTGCAAAAAATTCAACAGCTCTATCCTTTCCAGTTGAAGGAATCAGGTATGTCAAGAACACTGTACTAGTCACCCCATTCTTAAACAAGAGCTTTATTAAACCTTAAGTAACTCAATAATTAAGTGAAGCATTATCTTTATTATCAACATCTTAAACAATCTTGCATATTTAGAGTTAAGTTAAAAATGACATCATAGTGTTGATTTTGGTCTTGTAATAGCGTGAAGTCAATGAGGTTATGTTGTGACAGTATATTTTGATTGGGTGTTTTATTTTGGGTGAAAGGAATTAGCTTTGTAAAATGATAGCGTTTATTATGAAAGATATTCAAATTAGTAAGAGTAAGAACAAAGAGAACAAATTGTTATTGGAGAGAAAGCTCAATGAAATTCAAAGAAGCAAAGCTGGAGAAGCAAAGTGAATTTCATTAATTAATGAGAAAAAAGTTGGTAGTCATATGGATCAATTCGTTACTCTCGGTCTCATTAAAATTCTTAATGTAAAGAAAAATAAAATTGATGAAGTTACAATTTAAGAGAAATATAAACAAAGAGGGGAGAGACATCTTTTACAATCAATAGCAAGGTTTTGGTACAATTAGGTCTTTCTTATGAAAATGAAGGATTGGTATATGATGATTAAAGTTACAGAGAGTTTTGGAATGGTTTGAAGTGTCTATCACATTGTGAGTTTGGAAATCCTTACTAAACGAAGATGATGAAGAATTCAACCTCATACTAAATATTCCAATCATCACATGAAAATATTAAATTACTGCAATATTGATAGGAAAACATGCATTATACTAAAAATCATGCTAATACTTCGTAGAATGATGTTTCTCACTTTTTGTTATTTAGATTTTAATTTGTTATTCATCTTCAAATTTCTTTTCCTTTTATTTACCATTTGATGAGATCGACAGTGATGAGTTGATTCATAACGTATATTTTCTCATGATTGCACATGCTAATGCTTGCTTAATTCACTTTGCTTTTCTTTCTTATTTTGCTTCTTTGGCCACTTCTAAAACTTCCTCTCTAGCAGCAACTTGTCTTTCTTTATCCTTAAATCATCCCCGATTGCCAAATTTTGACTGCTTTCTTTTACTTAATTTTGATATTGCTATCATCAAAGAAGTGCATGTTTAAGGAAATCATAATGAGTTAAATGTTCTCCTAAAGTACTGTAGTCCAGGGTATTGCTGCCATATATTATGTGTGATATTTCTTATTTCTCCAAAAATGATCATATGTTCCAATCATATGCTTAGTAGATATTTAACTTTTATTTCTGGATAAAACTGGTTGGTGGAATCTTTTTAGCATATTCCAACTATTACTTTAATTTTATATATAGCTTAGATTTGTTATAGCCTTCATGACTATTTCAGCATTCCTGTCTTTTCATTTGAATCGTTTTGAATGTTTGATGAATTGTATTCTTTATCGGCCAGGGCTTGTTCATTGTTGCTTAAATTTCTTTCTATGAATGAGGTTATGTATGCACCAGGTATGAGTATGCTAAACATCTTCAAGGATAGCCCCCTGAGCACATCGACCCTTGATGATTTCATGTTTTATGAAGAGCGGCAGAAGATTATGCAGAAAGAGAAGTGTAGATTTACAGGAAGAAGCTACGAAACTTATATACCTACAATTGTTTCTGCCGAGAAGTCCAGTGATTCAGCTGGGCAGAGTGGTTCCTCCAATCAGATTGCAAAATTGGACGGAGGTCAAACGAGTGTAACATCTGGTCAACCTCTGAATGCTGATGTCGAGCTAACTGAGTGTAGAATCTATTGTTACCTTTCTGATATTCATGTTTTTGTGTTAACTCTGACCCTGGCATTAAGCTCAATTTGGCAGAGTTTATTATTCACCAATTGTTGTTTCTCCGTTTAGCTCTTGTGTTAAGGTGATTGGTCTAGAGTGATGGGGATATACTTTTTCTTCTTTGTTTTCATTATTTTAATGTGGAAGTTTACATAATGTAAACTCTTCTATTACTATGTTACAACATCGACAAATCCAAATACAAATGCTACAATTATTCTCTTTTAAATTTGAATCATGTTGTTTATATCTCTTGGATGCTGGTAACCAGGTTTGGAGTCGTTTGACCAATCCAGTCGTTTGGATTTATATGAAGAGATAACTGTAAGTTTGGATATAACATGCATTTGCTCTGCTGATTTCTTTTACCTTATCTTTTCTTAGCTCACTTTGCAACTTCCAGCGTGCGGCTTGAAGTCAAATCTCAAGTCACCTACAACATTGATTTCTGAATAAATTTTTAGTACAAATGCATTTTCATACCATAGTGGGGGTAATCTTACCATGGTGACCATAAATAATTTTCCCTACAAATCAACAAAAGTTATCCCTTTTTTTCCATGCGAACCAAACACAAGAAAAATAAATACATTGGTTTCCCACCACTTTTTATGTGCGAACCAAATCAAAACAATCTATTTCCTAGAAAAGTTTGAAAAACTCAAAACTTACATTTCTTTACATGAAAATGTATTTCCCTATATCTAGGAAACGACCGGGAATTTTAAGAAGAGGGAATAGGTTGGCCTCGCTTCGTTGGCCACACATTGTATTTAACCTTGTGCTCACGTCACATCCCTTCACGTATCAGCCACGTGACCTCCCGTATTTCCTGACAGTTTGGTAAAGCGCCGAATTATTATTAAATTTCCAAAAAAGACGTGCCTAGTCTTCTCCCTATTTGGCTGATTTCCATCAGAATTCAAGTCCTTCTCTAATCTTTAAAAAAATTAGAGATTTCTGAGGGTTTATATTCCTTTGGAAGCTCCAATCCAATCAGATTCCTTGGAAGCCCCGATCCAATTCTTGCGCCCACGCTCCCGATCTTATTGCATCCAGAAATTCTCCTAAAAGGTCGATTCTTTTTCAGCCATGAGTTCTAATTCGTCTTCGAGGCGATGCGCGAGGAGGAGCGTTAGGGATTCGAATCGATCGAAGACGAATCTCGACATCGACCTCAACTCTGCATCGGTGATAGATCTTGAGGCTAGTGACGACGACGATGTTCAGATGCTGTCGTCTCCGAGAGGGTTTCCTCGGGTCTAATTTCTTTGATCTCCAGCTATTCAAATACTCATCCTGCTAACTATTGATTTTGTCATACAAATCACTGATTTTTCACCCAAACGTTAATCTTATTGTATAGCTTGTTGAGCAGATGATGATGGGGGATTTGGCTGATAATTTCATTGTGTTTCTTTTTTTTCTTTTCTAGGCGAGGACTCTGTTAAGGAAGAGGAAGCGTCCAGATGTAGTTGTTCTGGATGAAGAGCCTGGAACTCATTCAGGTGCTACAAGTTTTGTGACATTTCCAGTTTCTTAGTTTTCTTATTCGTGTCAGAGTTAGAATTTATTGTCTGCTATATGCGTGTTTTTTTTTCAAGACGTTTTTTTTTTGTTTATTATCTAGTAGCCCACTTGGATACGTTAGGATTGCAAACATGAGCAATGTCATCCTATGTTAATGGTGAGGTAGAGCTCTGCGACGGTAGCCATAGTGGAAACTTATTTACTCATCTTGAAGTTTCCCATTTGTACGAAACTCCCAAGTGGTGATGAGGCTCGAGGGTTACTAAATTTATACTTTGTTCTTTCAGGCTGAGTGTCCTTTTCATGAGACGAATTCTATACATTTAAAAAAAAATCAATTTAAATTCAGGTTGGATCTTGATCTGGACCACTCTTTCAATTTCACTACAGCAAGGGCCTGTTTGGCAACTCACGTTAAACCGGTTTAGTGGAACAAAAAGCACTCCATACTTAATCCCAGTTTGGATGACTGAACCAACTTAAATTGGTTTTGTTAGGCGAAAATTTGGCCTTATTCCAGCCAGGATTGTTCGACCTCCGCCGACCAAAACTAAACCTGTTTAGGCTAGTTCTGTATTTGGGGGGAGTTGGCAAACTGACACATAAATTCTGAAGTCTTGAATCTTTTGATGAGGATTGAGGGTAACATCATATATTATGTGTGATATTTCTTATTTCTCCAAAAATGATCATATGTTCCAATCATATGCTTAGTAGATATTTAACTTTTATTTCTGGATAAAACTGGTTGGTGGAATCTTTTTAGCATATTCCAACTATTACTTTAATTTTATATATAGCTTAGATTTGTTATAGCCTTCATGACTATTTCAGCATTCCTGTCTTTTCATTTGAATCGTTTTGAATGTTTGATGAATTGTATTCTTTATCGGCCAGGGCTTGTTCATTGTTGCTTAAATTTCTTTCTATGAATGAGGTTATGTATGCACCAGGTATGAGTATGCTAAACATCTTCAAGGATAGCCCCCTGAGCACATCGACCCTTGATGATTTCATGTTTTATGAAGAGCGGCAGAAGATTATGCAGAAAGAGAAGTGTAGATTTACAGGAAGAAGCTACGAAACTTATATACCTACAATTGTTTCTGCCGAGAAGTCCAGTGATTCAGCTGGGCAGAGTGGTTCCTCCAATCAGATTGCAAAATTGGACGGAGGTCAAACGAGTGTAACATCTGGTCAACCTCTGAATGCTGATGTCGAGCTAACTGAGTGTAGAATCTATTGTTACCTTTCTGATATTCATGTTTTTGTGTTAACTCTGACCCTGGCATTAAGCTCAATTTGGCAGAGTTTATTATTCACCAATTGTTGTTTCTCCGTTTAGCTCTTGTGTTAAGGTGATTGGTCTAGAGTGATGGGGATTTCGTGTGATTTTTTCAATCTCAAACAGGTATATTTCAAGTCAAATCAAGTACGTAGTTCATAGCAATTGATTCACTCCATTTCAGGTTTCGTATGATTTCATTAATACAATCAAAAATTTATAATTCATTCGGGATATTATTATTTGTTTATGTTACATTCGAACTTTTATATGATTAAGATTAACTCATATAACGAGCACAAATAAATTTGTATATAGTAGTGGTAATCTTACCATGGTGACCATAAACATTTTCCCCTACAAACTTCAAAACCAACCAAACACAAGAAAAATAGGAAATGTCAAATCAACAAAAGTTATCCCTTTTTTTCCATGCGAACCAAACACAAGAAAAATAAATACATTGGTTTCCCACCACTTTTTATGTGCGAACCAAATCAAAACAATCTATTTCCTAGAAAAGTTTGAAAAACTCAAAACTTACATTTCTTTACATGAAAATGTATTTCCCTATATCTAGGAAACGACCGGGAATTTTAAGAAGAGGGAATAGGTTGGCCTCGCTTCGTTGGCCACACATTGTATTTAACCTTGTGCTCACGTCACATCCCTTCACGTATCAGCCACGTGACCTCCCGTATTTCCTGACAGTTTGGTAAAGCGCCGAATTATTATTAAATTTCCAAAAAAGACGTGCCTAGTCTTCTCCCTATTTGGCTGATTTCCATCAGAATTCAAGTCCTTCTCTAATCTTTAAAAAAATTAGAGATTTCTGAGGGTTTATATTCCTTTGGAAGCTCCAATCCAATCAGATTCCTTGGAAGCCCCGATCCAATTCTTGCGCCCACGCTCCCGATCTTATTGCATCCAGAAATTCTCCTAAAAGGTCGATTCTTTTTCAGCCATGAGTTCTAATTCGTCTTCGAGGCGATGCGCGAGGAGGAGCGTTAGGGATTCGAATCGATCGAAGACGAATCTCGACATCGACCTCAACTCTGCATCGGTGATAGATCTTGAGGCTAGTGACGACGACGATGTTCAGATGCTGTCGTCTCCGAGAGGGTTTCCTCGGGTCTAATTTCTTTGATCTCCAGCTATTCAAATACTCATCCTGCTAACTATTGATTTTGTCATACAAATCACTGATTTTTCACCCAAACGTTAATCTTATTGTATAGCTTGTTGAGCAGATGATGATGGGGGATTTGGCTGATAATTTCATTGTGTTTCTTTTTTTTCTTTTCTAGGCGAGGACTCTGTTAAGGAAGAGGAAGCGTCCAGATGTAGTTGTTCTGGATGAAGAGCCTGGAACTCATTCAGGTGCTACAAGTTTTGTGACATTTCCAGTTTCTTAGTTTTCTTATTCGTGTCAGAGTTAGAATTTATTGTCTGCTATATGCGTGTTTTTTTTTCAAGACGTTTTTTTTTTGTTTATTATCTAGTAGCCCACTTGGATACGTTAGGATTGCAAACATGAGCAATGTCATCCTATGTTAATGGTGAGGTAGAGCTCTGCGACGGTAGCCATAGTGGAAACTTATTTACTCATCTTGAAGTTTCCCATTTGTACGAAACTCCCAAGTGGTGATGAGGCTCGAGGGTTACTAAATTTATACTTTGTTCTTTCAGGCTGAGTGTCCTTTTCATGAGACGAATTCTATACATTTAAAAAAAAATCAATTTAAATTCAGGTTGGATCTTGATCTGGACCACTCTTTCAATTTCACTACAGCAAGGGCCTGTTTGGCAACTCACGTTAAACCGGTTTAGTGGAACAAAAAGCACTCCATACTTAATCCCAGTTTGGATGACTGAACCAACTTAAATTGGTTTTGTTAGGCGAAAATTTGGCCTTATTCCAGCCAGGATTGTTCGACCTCCGCCGACCAAAACTAAACCTGTTTAGGCTAGTTCTGTATTTGGGGGGAGTTGGCAAACTGACACATAAATTCTGAAGTCTTGAATCTTTTGATGAGGATTGAGGGTAACATTTTATACTCTCAAGTCTCTAACAGCTTATATGTAGTCCTTTGTAAATTGTAGTCACCAACTCTTTGTCCGTTTATAGTTTTCGCTTTCACTACTCGTCTCTATGCCTTACCTTGTCATTCTAACCTTACTGAACAATAAGTGTCATCATCAATGTGTAAATAAACAGTCTATGGAAGTTTGAGTTGTATATCATGCTTTATGTAGGAGGTGCTTGCCTGCTTGGTAGTTTCATCACTTTGACGGCAATAATTTTGAATTTTATTTTGCCTTCTCAGTCTTTTCTTTTTCTTTATCTTTGGGTTTGTAATGGTGGAGGGTATACATAGAAGTTACTAAATTTCTATTATAAATTTTATAATAAAAAATAAAGTAAGTAAAATAAACATGTGAACTCTTGGCTAGAATTTGATAGAGCTCAACTGAACAAATGTAGTTTTTAAGTTATTCTTATTGTAAATTACGGTGTACTTTTAAGAGTAAGTTTTTAAGAGGAGAAAATTTACAAACTTAAAGCAACTTCATACAATAATTTACAGCCTAAAAGTTGTCCTTTTCCATGCAAAATTTCAAAAACAAATGTTTCAATTGAAAAGCCAATGAAAAGTGTAGGTGAAAAAAGAAAAGAAAGATTCTCTGAAGTTATTTAGATCTATATATCAATGTTCATGTGTAAATAACTGCTTTTCTAAGATTGGCTAACTTGGAATTCATTAACTATCAGTAATGCTAACCTTCTGCCTGACATGACACAATTCTAATATCTAGTGAAATTCAACAAGCTTAATTATTTGCCCGTAAAAGAAGTGAATCAAATGATAAAATGAGACATCATTGACCTTACTATAAAGCAGCTCAAATTTGCTCCATTTTTTAGATAATGCTTCAAGCTATATAATTAGCTTCTGCATATGAAACAAGAGTACCTTCATTGTTCTTTATAAAGCACCCTATGCATGTGTGATGTTTGTCTCCCTTCCAAAAAACCCAACCCAAAAAATGGACGGAACAATAGGAAATGATATTTGCAAAAAATTAAAATAAAAAACAAAAAAACAAAAAATAATATGAAATATAATGCGATTATAAATAATCATCCTAAAATCATGATATGTTTTGTAATATCTTGAAATGGTAAAAATAGTACGAAGCATATTTTAATAGAAATTAGTGATTTTGTTTATTTTAGTGCTACTGATTACATACTTCATGACTACAAACAAAAATGAAAAAAACTTGCATGCATCAAACACTACATTTTACAAGCAAGTACCAAACGCTAGCATGAAGTTTTCTTTGGATAATTATTTAGCAAATAGAATTGTAAATACACTAAATTAAAATATAAAAAAATATTGAAAACAATAAGTTTAAACATTATATGTACCTTGATCAGAAAATTCCCAAGAGAGAGTTTAGTGCTAAGAATTTCTTACAACCTCCAAATTGGCTTGATCTTATAGCCCAAAATATCAAACAATGGTAGAAGCTCTCTAATCTTAAGAGGAAAATCATTAGTAAGCCAAAGATCAGGTTTATACTTCAGTGTGTATTCATTCTCCATATTTTTCTCACTTGGTTGATATTTTTATTTGCCCAATTTGACGTTTTATAGGTTTTTGACGAGGACCCTTTTACTAACTCATTTTGCATCACCTTGTTCTTGTTGCACTTTTTCTTCAAATTTATATACCATCCCTTCTTTCCTTGCTCCTTGTTAGTTGTTAAATTTGTGCTAGATGTAGCACTTAGCTCTGCGAACTCTTCGTTTGGCTAATCATTGAACTCCAAAAAATGTGTCATCTTTCTGTATTGTAGCATCAAACACTTGTTGGGGTTTTAAAATCAGCGTCACATCGTGCATGTGATATAAATTGGTCTTACACGGGCCTATCATTATCTCGAATCTTGATGGGACTATAGGAGCTATTGTCACATCTACTCGTGGTCAATAGATGTTTTCCTAACATTATTAAGATTTCTTGCTGGATGTTTTCTTCAGTTTGTGAAACCTTTTTCTTGCTGAAGATATTTTTTACCATTTTACCGTTGTAATGGTCTGGCATGCTGGAGTATTATCTTTATGACCTCTTCTTCTATTAAACAGATTGCCTCTTTGAGTGCAGTTCGTCTTTTTCATTCTAGAGATTGCAATCTCTACCATATTCCATGAGTAAAAAAGTAGAGGTGATGTCTACCATTTTGATGGCGAGATGAAGAGGAGTATCTCGATTGGGCACATCTCTATCATCAATAAGAGTAAATCTTGCATCGGTTACCTCTATGTTTGTAGTTGCATCTACTTCAGTCTGGATCTTTGATGGATCACAAATTGAAGGAAGAGTAGATAATAACTCGTTCCAGCAAAGTGTAATTTTGAGTGAGCATCATCATTTGAATTTTGCTATGGTAAATTTTTTTTTAATATCAATATTCTCCATTTCCACCATTTAATTAAATAATGAGAGACAATTGAATCATAACATATATAAAATATCATAAGTACCAGCATATTCGCAAAAATGTGATAGTGTTATCCAATTAATTTTTTGTCATACATATTAGTAATTTGACATTGATTTGAGTTATGCAATTTTATTATAGAGATACTAAACTATTATTAGTAATTTAAAACAAAAAATATTCTTAACACAATTTTGTTGAGTTTAAGTAATTGGAGCAAGTTATTTAAAATTAAAGAATAGAAAATTGAAGAATATTACCATTTAATTATGATGGTTCAATTCTTCTTCTACTACTATATTTAGAATGTTCTAGAAATATAAAGGAAAAAAGAAAGTGAAGATGATCAAAAAAATCAAACTGCAATTTCAATTATGTGAGTCAAATCCTAGTCTTATGTCATAATTTAGAATATTTTAGAAATAAGTGATGAAAAGAAAAAAGGGTGTTTCCACACTTTGACGTGTGAAATTACCAATATACCCCTCAAACTCCTATTGTGATGGAAATTATCCTTCAAACATTTTGATACCCCCTCTAAAGGATTTTAATATAGTAGTGTAGATATGCACCAAATGGAATGTAGAAGAACATAAAGATCATCTATGAAACAAAAATCAATTTAAAGAACAAAAAGGCACGATTTTACTACAACTAAGAAAGACTTCAAAAATGAATAATAATAGAATAAAAAGAGATACCATTATTGTTTTAATAAAGTCAAAATAGTGGAGAATGATTGAAAACAAGAATAAATGAGTAATGTATGCAGTTAGTAAGTAGGTTGTTTATTTTACTTTATAGTTAGTTTTTAGTTTTATATTTTTTACTTTTTCTTCAAGATGTATTCAGATACTATCAGAGAGGAAATGAAGAGCACATACATCCTTATCAGCTAACACTATCATTAAAAAACCAACATTTTTCATAAAATTAAGAAATAAGAGCATATATAGATTTTATTGAGAATAAAAAAATTTTATATAAGAGTATAACAGATATTAAATGTCTTTAGCTAGGTCATTACCCAACCCAAAATAAAAATTTATCATATTAAGTATTAATAATTGTTTTCCATCAAAAAATATTATAACTATTTTCTCTCTCTTTCATCTCTAAAATATTTTTCAAAAGGGTTTTTTCAATATTAGGTCCCCAAATCTTCAAGATTTGAAATTAGGCCCCAAATCTTCATATTTTGAAATTCATCTTCTATATTTTTGAGTATTTTTGAATTAGTCACTCAATTCTTCATATTTTGAAATTTGTCCTCTAAATGTTTGGATATTTTAAAATTTGCCACTCAAATCTTCATATTTTGAGATTACTACCCAAATCTTTGAGTATTTTGAAATTAGTCAGTAGAGCAGCCACTACAGTTTTAAAAAGACTCCGCCCAGCCTACCTAGACCTAGGCGATACCTAGGTCGCTTGTCTAGTGCTTAGCGGTACATAGGCTGCTTGCCTAGGCTTTGGGCCACCTAGAGGAGCGTGAGCTGCTTATGTAGGCTGCACTCTTTAGGCTATAATCGTGATTTCCTCAATTGCAACCTCCACGTTTTTGGACCCCCTCCGGCCTCCCAACTATAAGCACCTCCTCGACCCCACTCTGACCTTCAATAAAGCCTTCACTACTTAAATGGAGAAAGAAATTCACCTAGGCGTCAGTCTAGCGCCTAAGCTTTGTGTAACATTGACATTTACTATCAATTATTGTAATTAAAAAATAAAAACTAGGCTCTACGCATCGGGTCCAACGCCTAGGCCACCTAATAGTTTCTGTAACCTTGGTGGCCACTGACCTTGTAAGATCCTATGCAGTTTAACTAAATTGTGGAGTTGGTATGATCATTTTTTGTTGCAATTGATTGTTTGACCCTTTTGGGGAATGAAAACTAGCTCGTGAAAGTTTGTACATATATGTTCAGATCAGTTTCTTATTGCAATCTCTTTTTGCATGCTTTCTCTTTTTGCATGATTGGTATTGTGTCTCCTCTGTTATATATATCTTTTGATATATATAGTAGAAATTTGGTCAGGTTTAATTTTATAAGAACCTAAATGAAATTTTTTCATTTCACATTGAAATATTATTTGAGTATTATTCAAGAAAGAAAATAGGGTGTTGGTGGATATTTTTCAAAACCATCTTAGGAACAATTGAAACAATGTCAATAAAAGAGTCTTTTTCAAAATTTATCTTTGAATTATTATATTCTTAATATTAATTTTTATGGTATGCTTATAGAATATTTTGACTTTTGGTAATATTTGCATTAGAAAGTTTCTTTGATGGATCATTGGAAAGTATTGAAATTCCAATATTTTTTATTGTATTTTACGTATATATAGTTTTTTTTTTTTTGTAAAAGAAGCTTATCATCTTATTTTTATCTCTTATAACATACAATGTCATAGATAATTAGTTATGTGAATACTAATATGTGCTCATATCTATTGTTTGAACATTCTAAAGTTGAAAGAAAATGAAGGAGAAGTTTCTCATTTGAAATGACATATTTACTCTCTTAATTACAATGGGATGGAGGATATGTCCTCCATCATCCAAAATTTTCACTACCCCCACTATTTCTTTTATATAGTATTTAGTTAACTTTCACGTGCATAATACATATGGTATAAGAACTAAAAAATGCAATAGTGCAGTTTCAAATAAATTATTACAAACATAATTTCTAAAGGTAATTTATATGTAAAAAATATACGCAATAGATTTCTTTTTCATAATTTTGTAGGAGCAAGAGTTGTGGATCAACTTTGGCACAGTAGTAGTTTCTTAGTTTTATGTTTATTGATATTGATATATTTTAAACATTAATATTTTTTTAACTTATTTATGGGTGAAGATATTCTATCGATATTATGATTTTGTATCTTTGTTTCTGTTTTCTACTAATTCTGAATATCAAATGAGTTTCTCATATCAATTTTCTGTAAATCAGCAAATTTCAACCATCACGACAGTTATTTAAAATTGACTATTCCAAAATTTTACATTACAGAAATACTTTAGTGTTAGGGATCCCGCCTTTTATTTTTAAAATGTCTAATATTCTCTATTTGTAGTTATGGTTGAAATTTTCAATTGTTTGAAGGCATGCTGTAAAAGATTTTAGGCTTTTTTATTTGAGAGAGAGAGAGAGAGAGACGCGTTCAATACGTGAGGAAATGGACAAAATGTCCACTCATTCTAATTCAAAATACCAATTTCCCCAACACAAATCTCTAATGTCCATGAAGTCTCTACGAAATTGGGAATTTCTCAACATGTCTCCACTTTTATCTACCCTTGCTAAGTTTTTTATAGGGTAGTATAGATATAGATTCCTGTCGCTGTTAGAATTTGAAGGTTGATGTCAATTTATTGGCCATCTAATTCTGATTTGATTTTTTTTGAAGCAGCTCCTATAAATGATCCTATAATCTTACGGAGCATCAATTGGCGCAACAGGAGGCGAAGAATTCCGCCAAACAGATCTATTATTAATTGCGAAACTTATTTGATTTCAGAAGATGATCTTAGTGCCAAGGTAGCTTATTTTGTGCTTGTTTTTTTTAACCTTTATCTCATATGATTGTTTACTGTTAATTGGTTCTGGAACTCTGCAACTTGTACCAATTCTAGAAGATTTAAAACACAGTTATGTCAGTAGTGCTCTGATCAACATTTCTCCTTTGGAATTCTTTATTTCCAAATTTTCTGTTGCACATAGCTTTATCATCATAGTGTATGTCATAGTGGTTTGTGGCTGGTCAAATGATCATTTTATTTATGAATAAACTAAAGTTATTCCGGTAAAAATATAAAATCATAACTCTCAACCTCACCACAACTTTAGAGTCTTGATGCAGTGACTTTTATCATGGTATCATACCAACATGAGTTCAACACCCTCAGCTACGAATTTGAAACTGATTTCGAAAAATACTGCTGCTAGAGCCAGTTTATGGCCCATAAAAAGGGCCCTAAACTTATGGGAGCTTGTAAAATAAGAAATCATAATCCTCTCTACCCTCACCACGACTTCGGAGTTTTGATGTAGTAGCAGGGACATTTAACAACTCTGGAATTTAGTTTCTAAAGTAAGAAAAAAAATGACATCATATGTGAAGCAATGCAATTTAGATAATTAACACAACATAATTGAAAGTGTCTTTAAGGTGTCCTGTAAGTATTGAAACAGTTTTTGATATTTTTCAAATAGATATGTTATTGGTGTCAGAATTTTTCAAAAACATAAATAGTGCTATCTGTGGTCATTATTGAGATATTAACTCGATACAAGGTTGTAGATTCACCGTTTTATTCTTTACATAAAATTGAACAGTTCATTACTGATATAAAGTTAAACTCAGAAGCATTGATTTATTATTGTAGATTCACTGTTTTATTCTTTACACAAAATCGAACAGTTATTTACTGATATAAAGTTAATCAGAAGCACTGATTTATCATTGTTCTGATAATAAATCTGAGAGACTAGAAAATAGAGTTGAAAGCAGATGTTGGAGTCCTTGCATTTAAATTTTATATGAATAATTGCAGAACATTAAAGAACTATACCTGTAAATTTGCTGCCGACAACTTTTAGATTTAATGTCGATTACCTTAGAATCTTTTGTGCTTTCTTCTAGTATGTGGTTTATATAACACCCATCATACATATTTTCTCTATGATGCATGTGTTAGATCATTTATAATGCTCAAAGCGTCTTATGATATTATCTGAGCTCATTGCAAATAAAATCCTACTTAGGAGACACACAAAAAGTTTCTGGGTAATTAAACAATTAATGTACAGAGGATCAACTTGTTAATTCTGGTAACTGAAACTTATTTCTGCACATTGTATGTGATGAATGGCAGAGAAAGAAAGTGAGCGAGCCTGTGCAGGAAAAGGCAGTACCTAAAGAGCCGTCTTATATTTGCCCTATTTGCATGGGCGAATTAGTTTCACCGTGCTCAACAAACTGTGGTCATATATTTTGTGAAGGGTGCATCAAATCTGCCATCCAAGTGAAGAAGCAATGTCCTACTTGCAGGACTAAATTGACCATGAAAAAGAGCTTTCATAAAGTGTTTCTTCCTACTTCCACCAACTAGTGAGTTGATTTTGGATTGAGTTGGAAGCTTTTTTTTTTCTTTTGGACTATCATGATGTTGGTATTGGTCTGTATCCATATAGTTCTTTGCTATTTTATTCAACATACAGTAGAAGCTAATAGAAAATCATTGGCTAAAATGTTATATTTATAGTAGAAGCAATTGAGTCTCTTTTATTTATGGTAGCTAGCACCCTGTACGTAAATTTTAGTGGTGTAGCATGCATGAAGAAATAACTATAATTTGCTTTGCTCGGATATTCTTTCATATATAATTGAGCATGAGCTCACAAAAGAGATGTTTGATAGTTAGTTTTGGTTATGGCTGTAGATCTTTCAGTGAGAAACAATGCTCAGGTGTTTATCCCGTTGAGGTGATCCTGAGTCTAGTTTAGTTTCTCTCCTTTTTCCTTCCCAAGGATCAAGCTCTCTGTTTCATAGCTGTAAGCTACTAGACTTATTGGCATTTTATGTATAGTCTCTTGCTTTTTTAGTTGCATATGCACTGAGGTTATTACTCTTGTGTACTCCGAAACAGAAGAAAAGAATAATTCATTTCTGTTATATCTATAGCACAGAAACTCTATGTGACAGATGCTGGTACAAATATCTTGTTCTTTTGTTCCCAAAGGCATGTAAGCTCCCTTTGCTGTAGAGTTATTGGACATGTATATAAGTTTTTATTTTGTATTTCTCAAGTGAGATCATCATTTCTCGAGCAAAATACAGGAAAGTATTGACGACGACAGTTTCCTCAGGCAGTTGGACGGTCTGTCACTTTGTGATCTCAGGCCTATATTTAGAAAATCTCTGTTTTGCTATTGTTCACGGTTTGAGGTTTCACTGCTGTATCATTCCACATATGTTAATTCCGATGTTTATTGGGTTCCTTTGGCTTAATTTATTTAGTGCAATGGTCGTTGTATGTAATTGTGGAAGAAAAGTATTGAGTTTTGTTTTATTGTTCTTTGGGCGAAGAAGATTCTGCAACTGCAAGTTGAGTACTTGATCTTTTGTAGTATTCTGTTACTTGTTTGGCTGTTATTTTTGTGTTGTTGGTGCTAGTCTTTTGAGGTTGTAGATGTGAG